TCTTTCTTTCTTTCTTTCTTTTTGAGACAGTCTCAATTCTAGGTTGGCCTCAAACTGGAGGTGATGCTCCTGCCTTAGCCTCCTGGTGCTGGATTCCAGGCGGGGGCCACCAGGCCTGGATGCACACACTACTGGGACTTCACGGGCGGGCGCTACGCTTCACGTTTACGGTGCGCCGCTGCTCGCCCTGCCACGCACGGCACACAGGCCGCTGCTGCCACAGCAGCCCCACCAGCCACAAATGGGCTCGTGGGGTCCCAAGGCCGCCATCACTCCTGCCACCTCTCCTCACTCTGAAAACTTCCTTGGCAACATTTTTATTTTTCTTTTTTAAAATTCATGTTCATGAGAAAAAAAGATAAATAGTAATGAAAGTTTTAAAACAGGTTAGTAGGAGAGTTACAACAACTGTTGTCTTTGTAGTAAGTTGTTCAGAGAACAAGATGCAGACATGATCTCTTGTCTAAATATTAGTACAAAACTTTCTTCTCAAAGAAGCAAGAGAAAGTAGCTGTATGTCTATCTTAACTATCTTGTGTGTGTGTGTGTATGTATGTATATATATATAAACAACAAAACGGTCCTTTATTTATTTTGTTTTGTATTGTCAGAGATGAGTGTTCCATTGCAGTTAGAGAAGCTTTATTTGGAGAAGTCTTTAAAGGACCTTTTCATACTTGACGCCAGTCCAAAGACTGCAGTTATCTGAATTCAGGAAACTAACCCAATATAGTCCACAAAAGTAGCGAGTTACCAGCACAACTGGCAACTGTCCGAAGTTGCTGACTTGAGCCTTTTACAGCTCAGCGTATTAATATAGCTTTACTTTTTATACCTCATGGCTATACTTTTCTGCTGGATGGTTAAGACCAAGTTAAAGCAAGACCTATATAACTAAAAATGTCACTTTTGCTATCGGCCAAGGTCAGTCAAATCTCCTCAGGATTTCCCCTGGAATGCAATACTTCTAGATTTACAGAGGGTGGAAGAGAGTGCAGATAATCACCGCTCTTTGTCAGCATCCTCTCGTGATTTATTTTTGGTGGCACTGAGGACTGAACCCAGTGTGGCCTCGGACTACATCCCCAGGCCTTTGTTTATTTAGAGACAGGGTCTCATTAAAGTGCTACTGTTTTTGGGCTGGGCTTGAACTTGTGATCCTCCTGTCTCAGCCTCTTGGAGGGCTGGCATTACAGGCACCCACAGCCATGCCCACCTGCACAGCCATGCCCACTTATTTGGTTATTTAAAAGAATTAAAGCCAGGTGTGGTGACCCACGCCTGTAATTTCACCACTCAGGAGGCTCAGGCAGGAGGATCTGGAGTTGGAGACCAGCCTGGGCTACAAAGTGAGCTCAAGGCCAGCCTGAATTGTATAGCAAGACCCTGTCTCAAAAAGACAAAAACAAAACAAAACACAACATAGGGCCGACGGTATAGCTCAGTGGACTAAGTGCCTGCTTAGGCAAGTGCAGGGCCCGGGGTTCAATCCCTGGCACCACATGCCACACTGGCCCCACCCCTGGGCACGCTGAGCCAATGGAGCCTGTACCTGCTGGCACAGGCCTGTAATCCCAGCGCTTGGGAGGTTGACAACAGGATCACTATGAGTCTGAGCTCCATAGTGAGACTCTGCACAAAAACAAAAACAAAAAAAACCCAACAACAAAACAAACAACAGAACAACACAACAAAGCCTAGGGCTGGGATTGCAGCTCACTGCACAGGACTGCTCAAATATGCATGATACCCACCCTGGGTTCCATCCTCAGACCCCATCCTCCCACAATCAAAAGAACAAAAGCTAAACAAATCAACAAATTTTACAAATTAACAAAACTAAGCAGATTAACAACGAATTAACAACTAAACAATTCTTTTAGTCTTCCATTTTTTGGAGCTGCACAGGACCCATGTATCTTCGTTACAAAGGCAAACCCCGAGTGATGAGTGGAAGCCACCTGCCTCCCACGCCTCCATGGGCCCCTGTCCTGCCTGGGGGAGGCAGCTGCCAACACAGCATGTGCTTCCTGCTAGGCCTCTCTGCCACTGCACCCTCCCTTCAGCCTTCTATGATTCAGCTCCTAATTTTACAAAGAAGGAAAAAGTTCCTTTGGCGACACAGCCTGGGTGTCACCAACCAGGCTCCCTCAGCTTCCTCACCACGGCTACTGCTTCCCAGGATGCCCTGGGGCAAAGGGTTAGGCTCACAGGGGCAGGGCTCTAGCCCAAGCTGTGGCGGTGGGGCCTGGGTGACCCTTGCCTTCTAGACAATACTGTGGCCTTTGATGACACCTTGGTCTCAAGGGAGAGGCCTGGGGTCGCCCATGCACTTTTTCTCTCCCCTTCAATGCTGGGGATGGAACCCAGGCCCTGCTACATGCTAGGCAGGTGCTGTACCACTGAGGCCTTTTCTTTTCTGCTTCTTACTGGCTTAAAACCGCCTATTCCAGTCCAGGATGCTAGGCTACCCAGGATGGCAGGAGATACAGAGGAAACAGAGGTGATGGCCCGGCTGCCCAGCGCCCCACCCTTCATGCCTTGCAGGATACATCTCCTGGTGCACCCCCATAGCGTAAGGAGCCCTGGGTTGTACAGAGAAACTGCCCACTGCTCTGAGGATCCCAAGGACAGACAGCCTGCAGGCCTGCTGGAAGAGCTCTTCTCCCGCCCTCCTGATTCCCTCTCCTCTCCCAGGGTATCTCCCTTTCTCCCCCTGGCTGGAGTGAGACACAATGGCCAGAGCTCCAGCAGCCATGCTGACTCATGCAAGTGGTAGCAGGGCAGAGAGCTGGAGGAGCCTGGGCCCGCCTGCATTTGTGGAGGTACCTTCTGGCCCTATACTGCCCACTTAGGGATCTTTACCTGTATAAAAACTTCTGTGTGTAAGTCATTCATTGGGTCAAAATAATGTAACTTAGATCACTGAATTTTTTTTTTTTTTTGCGGAACTGGGGATTGAACTCAGGCCCTTGTGCTTACCTGGCAAGCACTTATTCCACTGAGCCATTTCCCCGGCCCCAGATCATTGAATTTGTATTGTAACAAGAACACACGGTGCAGCCGCCCATGGCCCATGTTCTATGCCTGCCGTGCTCCACATGGTATTCCATGAGATGCTCCCCAAGCCTAGGCACCTGGCTCGGTCTCTGTCCCCGTTCAGTAGCTGGTGGTCACAGACAGACCTTTGCTCATGACTGCACAGTGGGCAGATGTCAGGGCCTGACTTCCACCTGCTTCCCCTTGCAGAGTCATAGGCCCTCCACTGATGTTTCTATTTTTTTTTTTTTTTGTGGTACCCGGGATCAAACTCAGGACCTTGTATTTGCCAGGCAAGCACTTATTCCACTGAGCTATCTCCCTGGCCCCTACTGATGTTTCTAGAACAGAGGAGGGTGAGTGAGGATCCATGGAGTCGGGCGGGAGCTCCTACCTTCGTAGGCCTTGGCTGCATTTACCAGGCTGGACCACTCAAGACCGGCGGCCGTGTCAGGCAATGGCATCATCCCAGGGTCGAGGCGCCTCAGGGGCCGGTCCCGTCCATCAGTCAGTGAGAGCTCTGAGGCTGAGATGGCGGCTGCGTGGGGTGCAGACAGGAACCACTGAGCACGGCCCGTGGGGAAGACGCACAGACAGGCAGTGTGCTGCGCCTTTTCCACAGGGTGCTATGGGGGCTCCCAGGGTGCCTGATCTGAGCACAACTCTGAGGGGGAAGCCAGGGACACTGGGAGGGCACTGTGGGCAGGTGAGGCTGCCGGTGCAAAGTGCCAGATCAGTGAGTGCCTGCAGGTGTGGGGAATACTGTGGGGCTGGGACAGGGTGAGCCAGAAGAGGGTGGTAGTGGAAGGTGACATCAGAGAATAGACAGGACTGGACCCTGTGAGGCTTTGTAGGTGGCAATGAGGACTTCCTTTTTTTGCTCTTGTGGTACTAGGGTGGAGCCCAGGGCCTTCTCATGGAGCTAAATCTTTAGCTTTTTTTATCTTGAGTCAGGGTCTTGGTAAGTAGCTAGGTTGCTTAGGCTGGGCTTAAACTTGGGATCCTCCTTCCTCAGCGTCCCACAGTGCTGTAATTATATATTATACCCCTCTCCCACAAGTGCAGTCTTTGTCCTTTACTCTGGAGAATGAAGGGGCCACTATAAGGTTCTGCCTCAGAACTGGCCCAGGCTCCCACTGGCTGTGCATCTATGTTGTGCAGGGAGATGGCAAGGAGGCTCCTGAGGGGCTCTAAAGGGGATCCAGTGTGGGACAGAGTGGGTGGAAGGGGGCACAAGTGGGTAGATTCTGGATCTGTGTGTGTGTGTGTGTGTGTCTTTTTGAGACATGGCCTCACTACGCAGTTCAGGCTGGCCTTGGTCTTACTTTGTAGTTCAGGCATGCCTGGCTCAAATTCTCGATCTTTGAGCCAGGGGTGTTTGAAGAGTACATGAAGGTGTGAGACAGAGATGGGCCCAGGATACCACGGAGATGCTGGGCCTGGGCACAGCTGCACATGCGGGCTCCAAGGTAGGGAAGGCGGAGGGAGAAGAGCAGTTCTTTCCTGGAGGTGCTGCGAGGAGGGTCTGTGAGACCCAGGAGGAGCAGTGGGAGGGGCAGGGACACGGGCGGAAAGTTGGGCTGTCTCTGTGTGGCAGGCAGCATGAGCTCTGTGTGGTGTGGGCACAGACGTGGTTGTTGAGCCACGGCTGCCAGACAGCTCTGGACCACATCACTGAGTCTTCAAAGTCCCAAGGGAGGGACAGAGCACAGCAAGGCATTGAGAAATCAGGAGCCTGGCAGTGGGGGAGGCCTGCTCGTGTCCCTGCGCATTTCCCCCATGCCAGACACCGCTGGGTGTGCAGTGGGTACAGCAGCCAGGGTAGGCGTCCTCCCAGTCCCAGCATTGCAAGAGGGAAATAAAGGCCTGAGAGGCTACATTTAGCAGACTCCACAGTTTATCCCATGAACCCAAGGGCAGTGGGTGCTTCTGGTACCACGCTGTGCTGCCAAAGAAACTGAGGCACAGTGGGTTCATGTATGGTAGAGGCCCTACGATGCAAGCCCGGCACCTGGCTCCTGGGAATGTGGTTCAACATTGGCTGAGCAGGGGAATGAATGAGGGTGGAAAGAAGCTGGGCTCAGCCTCCGGATCACTGGGTGGGCTTAAGAGGTGGGCACAGCCCCGTGCCAGGGTCCTCAGGAACTCACAATAGGGCTGGTTGCAGAAAGGAAGATGGGCAGCTGCCACTGAACACTGTTCAGTGCTGCCCAGAGGTCAGGCAGCACCTGCAAGGAGGCCTCGTGCCCCCATGCCTGGTGGGCACAGAAGGATCCAAGCAGTCCCTGGTCTTATGCATTCACCACTTTTAGATTTAGGGCCTTTGTGATACAGGCAGGGATTAGAATGGACTCAGGGTCCTGCCATGAAGATGCTAACAAATATTTGCTCCACGAGCCAAAGGGTGAATAAGTTCATATGCCTATACCTCTTCTCAGTGTAGCAAATCAGTGGGGATATTTACTGTCAGTAAATATTCACGGAGCAGACTGCTTGGGTAGAGTGGGAGGCTGGGAGCAGGAGCCGGGAACCAGGTGAGGCCCAGGAAACCTCTGGCACTTGGCCAGCAATCTCTTGGTGCCTGGGTGACACCATGGAACCTATGTGCACCCCACTCCCTCCCTTAGATGACCTCAACACGGGTGCCCCCCACCTCCCAGCCCTGGAATCCCAGGCTCACATTTCTTCTCCGGGAAGCTGTTGCCAGTGGCAGGGATGGTGCTAGGGCTGCTGCCGCCACCGCCACTAGGCGGGAGGGGGTGCTGGTGCTGGCGCCGGGCGGGCAGTGTGCTGGAGGGGAAGGTGCAGGTGCTGGTGAAGAGCACGTCGCTGGGCAGCCCTGGCTCCAGGCTGGCAGGGTTGGCAAAGCTTGGTTCCCGGCGCCCGCTGCATAGGCTCTCATCTGACAGCGTCCGCTGCAGGCTCTTCTGGGGAGACTGCTACCAAGACAGGGGTGACATGCTGGTACTGGTCCTTAGAGATCTCTTCTGGGGCAAGCTGTGACCTACCCTCTCCCTTTCTGGCCCTTTTGATCAAAGCATCAGTTTTCCCTGGGGCTCCCCTCCCTGAGAGGTCCATGGCTGGTGGGTGACCATAGTTGCTGTTCTGAGGAAGGGCCCAGATCGAGGCCCAGCTGCTTAGGGAAGGTAATGCAGGCCATGCTGGGCACAGAGAGCCAGGCTGGAACTTGAGGGCACCACTGATACCAAATGTTCCCCTCCTCTGGTTTCTGGGCTGCTGGGACATAAACTGGGGAGACTGGGGCCATCTTTGGTCCTACACAGAATACCTGCCTGGCAGCATGGCTAAATGGGCAAGTGGGAACAAGGATGAAGGGAAGCAGGGGTGGCAGAGGTACTGAGACACTGGTGCTTTGGCCTTGCCCGGTCCCTGGAGACAAGAGTGCGGGTGTCCTATGGGAGCCCTGCTGTATGCCCAGCCCCTTACTTTGGGCAGAGGAGAACTGTTTCTGTCCTGGGCTCCAAGACAAGATGTGCAACCTGGGGCTCCCTGTGCCTGCCTGGGCTGGCCCTGTCCCTCTTTTTCTTACCAGCACTGGGGTATTATCCTGGAGCACTGGCATGGCAAGCGAGCACCAACCCACCAGGCTCCGATCCCGTCTCTGGCTCCCAGAGAGCCCTCACTCATATACCCCAAAAGGACCAGCAGGTGCCTAAGGCTGTGAGCACACAGGAGGCTGGGGTGACCACGCAGAATGCTACCCTCTGCCCTACCCCACCCCGCCCTTGGTTGCTGGGCTGCGTGCCACGCACCCCTGTGTCCCTCTCTTGCTCTGGCCCCAGGTTGTCCATGATGATGAGTTTCTTCAGGTCGTCCTCGATAGTGGACTTGTAGTTCTTCCGCGGGGAACGCAGATCACGCAGGGATGCCCTCAACCGCGGCTGCCCAAAGACATTTTTTGTGCTGGCGTCCACCTGCCTGGAATGAGAAGATCAGGTCAGAGGGGTGCTTGGGGGGTTGAGCACTTCTCAGAGCTGCCTGGATTTCAGTTGCTGGCTGCTCCTGCCAGGACTGTGTCTCCTCTTCCTCGCCACAGGTGACAGAAGAGCAGCTCGCTCTGCTCTGCCCACTCCCTCTCACAAAGCCTCCCTTCTGGCCCAGCCTGTTTGAGTGTTGGGGATTGGCAGAGACTCTGAGGTCCACATGGAGCAGGGGAACCAATGCAGATCAAATCAATGGAAGGATCCCGTGTGGGAAGCGGTGAAGTGGACAGAACCTTTTTTTTTTTTTTTTTTTTTTTTTTTTTTTGTGGTGGTGGCACTGGGGATTAAACCCAGAGCCTCTGCAATGAGCTACATCCTCAGCCCCTTTTAAAATTTTGAGGGCCGGGGAGATAGCTCAGTAGAATAAGTGCTTGCCTGGCAAGCACAAGGTCCTGAGTTCAATCCCCCCTGCAAATTTTTTTTTTTTTTTGAGACAGAAGCCAGGTGTGGTGGTGTACTCCTATAATCCCAGCACTTGGGAGGCTGAGGCAGAAAGATCACTTTGAGTACAGGGCCAGCCTGGGCTACATCATAGTAAACTCAAAGCCAATCTGGACCACATAGCAAGACCTTGTCTCAAAGAAAAAAAAAAATTGAGACAGGGTCTTGCTAAGTAGACAAGCTGCCCAGGCCGGCCTGCACCTTCCAGAGTGCTGGACGGCAGGTGTGCACCAGTGTACCTGGCTGGAGAGGACTGTTTGTTTATTTATTTTGGTGAAACTGGGGATTGAACTCAGGCCCTTGCACTTTTCAGGCAAGCGTTTATTCTACTGAGCCATCTCCCCAGCCCCGAGAAGACTGTTTTAAACAAAAATAAAGCTGGGGAAAGGAATGGGGATTGGGGAGGACTTTTCTGAGTGGCAACATCTGGGGAAGTGAGGAGAAATACAGTTTGAGAGAGGAAGGAATGGGTAGAAAAAAAGAATCCTGGGAGGAGGAAACAGTGCTGAGGCCAAGGGCGCTAGGCTTGTTGAGCTAGAGGGTGAGGAGTGGAGGCACAAGAACTGTTCCCTTGGTGGCCTCGGAAGCCTCTAGCCTGGGTGCTCTGGGACCAGCCAGGGGAGCACTAGCCTCGGTCTCCTGACCCAATGCTCAGGGACAGGATCCACACACCACTGGGTGCCCGGGAGGACTCTGAGCAAGCCTGGTCTCCCCTACCTGCTACTATCACTGCTGCTTTTCTGCTGGGCCTCCTGTTCCAGAGGGCAGCTTGGGAGCCAGGTGACTCCGATCACTACCCCTTCTTTGGCATTCTCAGTGCTGATGTGCACTGCCCGCCCCGATGCTCAGTGATCTGAAGCTGCAGAGCCACTGCCCCTGGTAGAAGGGACCACAGTTTGCTCCTGGTGTGGGTCCCTGAAAAAGTCCTACCACCTCTCTGGTCCTGCTTACCCACTTTGCAGTATTGTGAAAGATCTGCTGCCAGGGTGGCGGCTGGCATGTGAAACAGAAGATGCTTGGGACAGGACCCTGCAACCCTCAACCTGGGCCTGATGACCCCTATCCCCTGGCATGCTCAGCCCTTTCCATGGTCCTAGACTCGCTTCAGGCCAGGTTGACTTGCCCTGCCTCACCCTATCTGCTACTGAGCCCCACCTTTGGGCTCCAGTTCTCCCTTCTGTGAACACCAGAAGCATGACTGGAGGTATCATCACTTCTCAGGAGAGAGATGACAGCTGACAGGAGAGTGTCCTCATTAGGCACCATCTTACATAAGGGCTGTGTATGGCACTTGTTAAAACCACACAGGAAAGCCAGGTTTGGTGGTGCACACCTATAGTCCCAGAACTGGGGAAGCTGAGGCGAGAGGCCTCCCTCATGTTCGAGGCCAGTCTGGGCTACACAGTGAGTGCAAAGCCAGCTTGAACTACACAGCAAGAGTCTATCTCAAAAAAAGAAAAACAAGAATGACAAAACAAACAAACAAACAAACAAACAAACAGTTATACAGCTCAGTGGCACAGCACCTGCCTGGCAAGTACCAGGTCTTAAGTTTGATTCCCCATGCCAAGATGTAACAAATCTACCTACATTCCCCATGCCCCCCAACAAAAAAAAAACCCAAAACAACAACAACAAAAAATGCACAGAAAACCACTCTTACTATTATTAGCCTCATTTTGCGGATGGTTCAGTCAGGCACACAGACAGAGGCCGCAGTGCCCAGGCCCGGCCCTGCCCCAAAGCCACTGGCCAGCTCTCAGCCCTTTCCGCAATTCCTTAGGCAGCTATGGTTGTATGTCTTTGCCTCTGGCCATCCACACAGCAGAAGAGTAGCAACAGAGCAAAGCCCGCCTCTACTCACATGGGGTCCTGTGATGCTCACCGCAGCCGGTGCATTAAGCCCAACTTGGCCATGGATAAGGCAGGCAGAGGTGCTAAGACAGGACTTAGTGAAGGCCACAGAACTGAAGACACCACTGCTGAGCCTGGCTGCCACTTTTTTTTCACAGACAGAATGAAAAACTAAGGATGGTGATGGGACGTGACCATATTTCATGACCTCACCTGCAAAACTGCAGGCATTTCCTCCCCATCTCCTGTGACCCATGCCAGGGCTGGTTTTCTGCCGACAACTCTGACACGCCCAACATGTGGAACTAGGGGTTGAACCCAGAGCCTGCATGCTGTTCTACATCTCTAGCCCGCCACCCTTTACAATTTGAGACAAGGTCTCACTAAATCACTAAGTGGCTCAGGCTGGCTTTGAACTCCTAATCTTTCGGTCTCAGTTGTGCACCAACACAGTTGGCTTAAAACATATTTCTGAATGAAGAAAAAAATTTCAGGAAGAAATCTTATTAGGAAGTGAAGAAATGGGACTGTTAATTTTTAATCTGATGAACTGAATCATGAATTTACCATAATCGTCTGCTAAAATAACAATAACAACAAGTTTTAAAAAGGCTGACACCTAGCCTAATATAACTCAAGAAAGAAAATCTTTGAGGCTAGAGAATAAATAAGATGTATTAGGCTCCCCAGAGTTCTGAAGCCTGCATTTCCTTTCTCTTTCTCACTTGCCAGCTTTGGGATTTTAACAAAGAGCAGAAGGGAGGGTGGCCAGGTTTTCCTTCTCAGGTCATATTCCATCCCAAACAAGAGCTCCAGGATGGGGCAGTGCTGACTACGCTCATATGAGCAAGAAGAGTGCATTCTCTGGGAAAATGAAAAGGTTTAGATTCAGAGGAGAGAACCAGACAGAGAAGGGCAACCCTCAAAGAGTCACTGTTCCCCCAGGAGGCTGGAAGGAACCTCTCTTTTCCTTCTACCTTTGATTTTGGCATTTCCCACAATCCTCTGCGAAGGGCATATCATCCAGCACAGTCAAGTCAAGGTGAGGGAGGAGGGCTTGGGGGGGAGCAGGCCTCTGCTCAGAGGCAGAACAAGTCATTAGCAGGCAGGAGGCTCTGGCTCCAATCCTCAGCACCAAAAGAGAAAAAAAAAAAAATCTTCTTCCTTCCCTGCTGTTTTATTTGTGTTCAGTTCCTAAAAATCACCTTCCCAGCTCCCAGACCTCTAGGAGCCTAACAAGGCCTTCCTAATTCTTCAATGGAAAGCTGGCTCACTGTAGCCTCTGTGGCCTGATTCTGTGAGTGGGCTGCAGAGAACATGTTTAAAGGAAAAACACTGTAATATCACTTTAGAGAGTCAAGTTGATCATTTTTTAAAAAGAACTGTCCTTATTCTGGAAAAATCTTTCAATGTATTTTCTTTCTTTTGGTGCTGGGGATGGAACCCAGGGCTTCCTGTAAACTAACCATGTGCTCTACTATTGAGCCACAACCCCAGCCCTGATGCCTGCTCTCTCGTTCTCTCCTCTCTTCTGTGTGTGTTCCAGGGTCTTGAACTCATGCCTTCGCACTAAACTAACCCCTGGCTCTTTTAGTTTTTTTCATATTGAGGAAGGTTCTTGCTAAGTGGCTAAGGCACCCAGGCTGGCTCAAACTTGTGATCCTCTTGCCTCAGCCTCTTAGAGTGCTGGGATTACAAGTGTGTACCATCATGCCTGGCTGCCCTGATTCTTTCTTTCTTTCTTTCTTTCTTTCTTTCTTTCTTTCTTTCTTTCTTTCTTTCTTTTTGAGACAAGGTCTCACTGTGCAGTTCAGGCTGGGCTTGCACTCACTTTGTAGCCCAGGCTGGTCTTGAACTTGAGAAGATCCCCCCAGTGCTGGGATTACAGGTGCATGCTGCCTTGCCCAGCCATTCCCTGATTTTCTTTTCTTTTCTTTTTTTTTTTTTTTTTTTGTAGAACTGGGGATGGAACTCAGGTCCTTGCGCTTGCCAGGAAAGTGCTTATTCCACTGAGCCATCTCCCCAGCCCCCAATGCCCTGATTTTCTAACATGCAAATTCCACGCGGTAAGGCTGAGGTGTACCTCAGTGGCAGAGTAACTGCCTAGTATACTCAAGGCTCTGAGTTTGATCCCCGGCACTGCAAAGAACTGGGCTTATATTTAGCTGGTCTGTTCTTTGTTTTTTCCAGATCTCCTCAACTGTCACACTCTAAAGAACTCTGGGGTAAAATGGGCTACTCCGCGACCAGTGACAAGAATGAGGCCTCTCTACGCACTGATACGGGAGCAATGCCCTGAAGTTTGAAGGGAAACAGCAAGTGAGGAAGGCTGCAGAGTGACGGGGGACCGCATCGGAAGAGGGAAGCAAGGGCACAGGCGAGCGGGTATCACTCGGTCATGTTCTGCTGTGGCTGCAAGAAAGAAAACCACAATTGCTTCTTGGGAAGGGAGCTGCCAGGGAGGCAGAGGCTGAGATTTCACTGCAGACTCTTCTGTGCTGTGTTACTTTTTAGATGGTGTGCATTTCATCTTCCTAAACATACCTCCAGCTTTTGTCCAACAGCACTGGACAGAGCCTCTGACTTGCCCCATAGTGTCTAAATTTGGATTTTGCCACGTTGTAGCATCTTTTTTTTGTG